GCAGTTGCTGCAGCCAGAAAAGACTCGAATGCGAGAAAAAGGAAGCTGCTGTCGAGGCCCGCACAGCCCATGCTGATGCTCCCGCTGTAGGACCTGATCGGCGTGCCTATCCTCTGGTTTGAGGATGTCTTCCTGGGCTGAGGAGGCCTTGGCCTTAGCCAACAGTGGTTTGAACAATGCTGGAGGGAAGAGACCCACACAGGCAGGCTTGCCCGGTGCGGCGCCTTCCTCCTCAGAGGTCAGTGTCCCTGATCTCCCCCAGGGAGTGGGGTGGTTGATTTGCGCGGCGCTGGACGGAAGTGGGCAGCTGATTTTGCTTGTCATCGTCACGACTCCTCCGGGCGCCCCCCTCCACTCGATCGGACTTTGTGGTGTGGCCTCTCCTCCACCTTTCCTTGCGGCTACGGGGCCTCCTCTCCTTACCATCCTTACCATTTGGCTCTCCCTGTTTATGGACTTTGGACTCTTGGACTTCCAGATTTACGACCTTGCTTCTTTGTTACGACCACTGCCGCCCACCGCTGCCCCAGGGACACCATCTCAGCCACTCAGACTCTTGTCCCCCTTTTCCATGCTGTCTGGGAGAGAAGACGAATTACTCCCTCTATACCACCGTCGATCTGCCATCGACTCGACTTTTATACTTCCGCCTTACGAACTTTACGAACTTACTTGCACAACATCAATTTTAATATCTGTGCAACCCTTTTTTTCCGTATGTGGAGTGTTTGTGTATTCTTGTGATTGAATGATCCCACTTTCTTTTAAACTAGCTTAATTTATTCTTTTATTGTATTGTTGTACTCTTTTAACTCTATAGTGGGGTATGTATGTGAAGAATGCCTGGCCGGTGCGTATGAGGGGATTGAGAGCACGGCCTTGAGCCCCCTCCACTGAGTGCAGAAGCAGAAGTGGATGGGGGCCTGGATCCACCTCTCATCCCAGAGTGTTTGGTATGAATGGCCTGCCGAGAAGAATGGGGGCCTTGGGAAGGAGGGGGGTCTACGGGGATGGGCCGGAGCATTATGGTCACGACTGGGAGGGGCAGGTATGATGGGAGCTACAGGGCTAGCCATTACCGGGGAAGGAGGGTTCGCTACGTCACAGTGATCCCTTGTTCCGGCCCTGAAAGCTCAACTCGGGAACCAGGTGACATGGGAAGTCAGGGCCCTGGTCTCAGGCTGTTGTTGCTAAATGCCAGGTCTGTGGTTCATAAAGCTCCCTTCGTCCGGGAC